TTTTTTTAACGAAGAATCTGTTTTACGAATTTGCACTTGTTTTGGATTACTTTAAAAACTCTAAAACGCTAAAAACCAATGTTCAGCTGAGAAATTTATAAAGTACGAAAGTAAATTGTTCTTGTATTTGTAGACAAAATGTAAAACGTAATTTTTTCAAAGTGACTTCTTGTATTCGTGTAAATAACAAAGCGCAACTGAAATAAAAAGACACGTGCAAAGTGTAACTGAAAATGCGATACTCCTTTACCTTGTTGAACATGCCTAGACCATTTTTGGGTACATAAATCAAACCATATTGACCAGTTGACCAGTTTTTCTGTCCTAACTTCCAACCGGAACAAACTATCAACTCCAAATTTCTTGGAGAACTTAAAATTTTTATACCATTTGACTTAATGTTTAAAGATAGTCATTTTTGAGAAGTAGTTTAAGGAGATGGGTTGGTTGTTCTTACTCCTATTTTTTTAATATTATCTTTTTAGAAAAATTGTTTAAGAAAAACATATTTTCATAGTTTTTTTTTATAAAATAGTCTTGTTTAAACACGATAGAGTAAACTGTTCTTGAATAATTTGAATTTTAAAATTTAATTGCACCATAAATGTTATTCATATATTTAACAACATTACAAGTTTTTCATGTATTGTTTCAATATAAACTATCAAATAAGCTATGTAATGTCACTATTTTGTTCGAGTAAAAGTGACAATACGGTGTGTCAATATAGTATATTATGCAACGATCATGTAATGATGGTTATTAATACACGAGCATTAACCGGGATACGAAACGAGCCAAAGGCGAGTTTCGTATGGTTTATGCGAGTGTTTTAATAACCATTACATGAGAGTTGCATACGCTATTTTTTCTACACCCGATAAATAATCAAGACCTATAAATATTATATTTATATTGGTATTGAACACAATAACAGTAATTACTCGTATTTCTATAAAAAATTCTACAAAATTGTAATTAATGGTATTACTTCAGGTATTGGTATTTCCCTAGATTTTTGCGGTAAAATATTTTGTACTGTATTTTCTGCTTTCTCCGATATGTGTGGAGGAGTCTTCTATATCGCTAATATCAGACATTTTAATATTATAATTATCGAAGTTTAGCTACCTACGAAAATTTAATACGTTTTGACAACTAAAATAATTACATAGGAACCTAGGACAAACGTCAAACAGCATGCTTGATTGAAAAATTGTAGGTTTCTATTGATTAAAAATCTGTATCGTAATGAAAAATCTGTATCATAATGGGTATCATTATGAAACGGATTATGGGCATATAAGTGCATTATTATAATACGGGTGTAGAAAAAGGTATTATCATTACAGGGATTATCTCACAGAAAATTAAGAACAGGTAAAAAAAATTAATAAAGGTGAGTAAATAATAGGTCTGTTCCAACAACGATCAGAAACCAGTCACTGACACCAGGATTCTGCGCAGTTGATTATTTCGACCGCCAAATTATATACTGCGCAGAATCCTGGTGTCAGTGACTGGTTCCTGACCGTTGTTGGAACAAACCTAATATCTAGTTCATTATTTTTAAATAAATTTCAACGTTTATTTCTCTAAATGGTTTAATTTAATACCCTTATTCGCTATATATAATGGTTCAAATGAAATAAATAAATAAATTCATTGTAATGGAAGTAGTTGATTTTACGAAAAAATACTCGAACAGGTCAATTTTGTATACTAAAAGCGCAATTTTTCAAAAAGAATTTAAGTTTTCTCCATTTCCCATTCTTGGGCAGTGACGTCATTTACAATTTTTTTAAATAGTAAATTCACAGTTATGTGAAAGACATCACTAAAGGTAGTAGGAACCCAGTTTCCGAAAACTAGATGTTCTGTTAGGCTTTGAAGATAATCCGCATACCAGCTCATGGCAAGTAGCAATAGATAATTCAACAGTTCTTAGAATGCTAAAAAAGCAGAAGTGGCATCCCTATATATAAAGTTACAAAGTATAAGAACTTATGAAAGATAATTTTGAAAAACGAGTTAAATTCTGTGAAATTATAATGGACAAAAACAATAGAAATCCAATGAATCTACATTTTTACTAAACGGTCATGTCAATCGTCAGACTTCTCGGTATTGGGTTACCGACAATCCACACTGGATGCATAAGTACCATACTCAATACCCAGAGAAAGTGAATGTGCTAGAATAATAGATAATAAGACTATTGGGCCATACTTTTTCGAAGAAACCTTAGCAGTTCCTTGATATTTAGAATTTCTTCAAAACTTCTTGATTTCCGAATAGAAATGACTGTTCCTAAACAGAAATGATTTGTGGCTACATCAAGACGGTGGGCCTCCACACTATGCTGTCTTGGTGCGAAACTACTTGGACAACATCTTCCCAAATCGGTAGATAAGTTGAAGAGGATCAATAGAATGATCTCCTAGGTCACCCGATTTATCTCCTCTTGATTTATTTTTATGGGGATACTAGAACAATCAAGTGTACCAAAATAGACCACAAAATATCAATGATCTCAAAGAACGGATACGTATTGAGAATGCAAACATAACTCCGAAAATTTTGGAGAACGTCCAAGAAGAGTTCACTGCACGTCTTTTGCATTGTATTTTAGCTGAGGGGCAACAATTTTAGCAATTGATATAGATTTGGTTGTATTTAATAAATAATAATAATATTTATTGTAATAATAAAAGGCAAGACGTCTGTGGAGCACCTAATTTAGTAGAATATTTTTGAAATATTTTACAGTGAAATTGTCATTAAATTCTTTTGGATATATTATTTTGTTAGATTAAGTACTTAATTAATTACAAATAATTATTTTTCATTCATTTATTGGGTTCTCAAAATAAAATAAAATTTATGTCTGATCTTTAAATTATTGCAAATATTATGTCCGCGAGTAGGAAATTGCAAGATCTATCAAAATCAAGAAAACAAATTAGAGTTACTATTTAAAAATATTGCCAATGCGGTCACTTCCCAAAAATGGAAAGTGGGGGAAAGTTGAATTCGTTTTGAAAAATGGCGCTTTTAGTAATCAAAATTGATCCATCCGAGCATTTTTTCTAAAAACCAACTATTTCCGTTATAATGAAATTTTTCCTTTAATTTGAACCATACTGTATATAAAATCTCAAAATTTTCTATAAAAGAATAATTTTCAGCCAAAATATGATTTAAAAAAGTAGAATTATTTTTGTCTTTAATATAACTATTGTAATGTTCTGAATAGCGTTTTTTAAAAGTACGACCGGTTTGGCCAATATACAATTTTGGACAACCACCATTATTTAATCATACTGTTGAAATCAACTATTATAATAATAATAATAATAATAATAATAATAATAATAATAATAATAATAATAATAATAATAATAATAATAATAATAATAATAATAATAATAATAATAATAATAATAATAATAATAATAATAATAATAATAATAATAATAATAATATCAGAATGTGATGGCTTATGAAATACCCCAAAACTATGGGCTACAATAAATTTACTGAATTATCTTTCTGTATTTCCATAGTAAATTTAATATTAGGGTGTATTAGTCCATGGAAATGGTACTTTTTGCCTTACATCAAATGAGGTAGTTCTAATTTTTTTATGAGTTGGTAGTGATGAAATGGGTAATGACAAATCCAAGTTTTCCACCTCGAAAGCCCTTCGGATCACAGTTAAATACTTGAAAAGTCATTAAAATTTAGGAGTTTTTTTCGATTTTGTCAATTTTTACCACCAAGGACCTACGTTACGACAAAAGTTACTATAGACATTTTTTAAGTAGACTAAATTTGAAATTAAATGAAAAAAATTTGATTTTGGTAGGCCAAATAGTTTTTAAAATACGGCTATTTAAAAGTTTGCAAAATTTAAAAAAAAGGAACTATTACAGTTTTTATTTTTAGATAATTTTTATTCCTAAGTAGTGGAAAAGTTATTTTTTTTAAATATTAAAGTCCACTAAATTCCCAACAAAATGAGACCAATTATGTCAACTTACACCTGATAGTTCCTGAGACACAGCTGTTCGAAGTTGTTGAGGTAAGTAAACAATTATGTAATTTCGTTTTGGTAGGCCAGATAGTTTGAAAAATTTCAAAAAAAGGAAGTGTTACAATTTTTTTTGTTGTCTGATAGATTTTTACTGCAAGTTGGTTTTGTGTGATAGTTCTTGAAACAGAGCTGATCAAAGTTGTTGAGGCAAGTAAACAATTATGTACTCGAAGGGTTTACAAAATGAAGTACGCCCTGTTAGTGAAATAAGCATTATAATTTATTAAAATAAACATTTTACTAATTAAAACATTAATATGAAAAATGTAATGAAACGCCTCATTGTATTTTATATACAGCACAGTTAAGGAAATAGTTATTACTCGCATTTTTTGTATATTTTTGATGGACCAGGCTCGTCCTCTGAATTCACAGCACACCTTTTAGGGGCAGCTTCCTGAGGTAGAATTTCTTCATCGAACTGCTCAGGAAGTTTGAAATCGACATTTGATGGTCGATCATTTCAGTTCTGCTTTCCTGCAACCACAACTGCTGATACAACCTTTTTTGCAGTTACAGAAAATCATATTTAGCACAGCTTGAGAAGCTGGTGGTGCCATCATCTGTTGAGAAACGAGGCCTTGCGTACTCCACATCCAGCCCCAATCGAGAGGATTATTCTCATTTCCCAGCCACTTATGTACCTAAAACAAAATCAACAACACGTTAAGGGACCAGGTATAAAGAATATGGTCTGAAACAAAAAGGAATACAAGCAAAAAACTTACCTTCACCTGCTGGTATGTTCGCAGAAAGTGAAATTTTGCAGCATCCCTGGTTTGAGGCAATATGGCGAGGTTCATGTTGGGTTAACTGCCGCCATAGTGTACAACTGGAAGCGAAGATTGCTAAGATTTTGCGATTCTCTGTTGCCTCCATAAAGTGAAACGAGAAAAGTCTCTCCTTAGTCGGCAACTTGCTCAGGTGTGGCATTGGAGCTCAAGAAAACCCCTGCGTTTTGTTCGGGGCGTGACTGTTTTTTTTTATTGTCGATAGAATTTTTTTTTTCTTGACCAAAAGGTGCTGATGTTGTATCACAACCTCTAAACGCGTGAAAGAGTAGTGAAATTCCGGTTACGTAAAGGAATTTGTCGAGTAGGTGACATCTGGGTTTTTCTCTCCCACATTTTACAAATATAATATTATTTGGTCTGTTTGTTAGAAGGATGTGGTCTCCTCCATCTCGTGACAACTCACAAAGTAAGACCAACAAATCTATATCCTCGCCGACGATCTTCACTACTTCGTAGGAAGAGGATATGGAAATGGCTGTGGTTACTATTAATCTATCAGCATCTTCATCTGCCTGTAATGTTAGAGTTTTGTTCTTCTCCAGGTGAACCTTCAGCATGTCGATGAGTCTAACTTTATTCCTGTCATTCAATAGGAACTTGTTCTGAGCAACTGAAGCAATGGTTGTTTAATCGAATATAACACCCACGGGGTACTGGCGTTAGCATGTTAGTTTGAATATCAAATCGGTGACACAGCTTTTTGTTGTATTATTTCTTCCGTGATATTAGTTGCAAATAAATTCTTTTATAATATTTATGTTATGTTACACAGAAATAAAAACAAAACACACTTTCAGTAAAAATCTATCAGACAACAAAAAAATTGTAATACTTCCTTTTTTTTGAAATTTTGCACACTATCTGGCCTACCAAAACCAAATTACATAATTGTTTACTTACCTCAACAATTTCGAACAGCTGTATCTCAGGAACTATCAGGTGTAAGTTGACATAATTGGTATCATTTTGTTGAGAATTTAGTAGACTTTAATGACTAAAAAAATTAACTTTTCCAATAAACCCACTTGTTAGGGGTAAAAATTGTCGAAAACTAAAAAAAATTGTAGTACTTCTTGAAATTTTGCAAACTTTTAAATAGCCGTATCTTAAAAACTATTTGGCCTACCAAAACCAAATTATTCTCATTTAATTGCAAATTTAGTCTTCTTAAAAAGTATCCATAGTAACTTTTGCCGTAACGTAGGTCCTTGGTGGTAAAAATTGACAAAAACGGAAAAAACTCCTTAATTTTAATGCATTTTCAAGTATTTAACTGTGATCCGAAGGGCTTTCGAGGTGGAAAATTTGGATTTGTCATTACCCATTTCATTCCTACCAACTCATAAAAAAATCAGAACTACCTCATTTGATGTAAGGCAACACTTCTTTTTTGGTAAGATTTCCATGTACTATCCTAATATTGATAAAAACTAATAAAAAATTTAACTGTCTACTAGTACCAATGAAAGCAGTCAATATGTTGTCAATATATCTATGCCAATTAACGCAATGTTTACATAAATTATTGCTGTAAATTGTATGTTCTATATTATCCATAAATATTTCTGTAAGCAACGGACCTAATGGGCTCCTCATAATAAGACTTTCATCTTTTGAGTACTTAGATGTTATTTTTAAATTGAAAATAATTTTATTTAGAGAAAATGTTTGACAAATTTAGAGTTTCTTCTTTGATTATAATATTGACTTGATTACGATCTAATAAGTTTTCTACTAGCTTAACTGTTTCTTTATGAATGATACTAATTTTATGTTACTAGGTAATTTAATGTTTTTTAATTTTTCTGTTAATCAAATCAAATATTGCTGTTGAATCCTGAATATTACGTTTAAGTTCTTTTTGATATTTTTCTGTTGGATAAAATTTAAATATACTGTAATTATTGTTAGCTTGTAGAAATGAAAGAGTTTTGTCAATATAATCTATATTATTAATACCAATTACTGCATTGTATCTGCATTCTGCATATATGTTAAATTAATTACGCTTAACGTGTAACTTACGTTTTTTGCGGCATTTCGTTTTCTATTCGTATTTATATTATTTTTGCAGCTTTTTGGCTAAAGTTCACTACAGACACTGATATCAAAAGTGCGAGACAGATGTTGAAAAAGTTTATATACTGTATATATATCGAGTTATCTGTAAATAAAAAAGATATCGACTGTTTTATTAACATATGGTTGAGAGATTTGTTTATCAATTTAGTTATATAAATAATAAAAAAAAAGGAATAACGGGCATATCGCGTAAGCAAAAAAAAGCTGAAACGCAAACCGTAGATACGTGTTTTTGACTGTAGATTTTCATCAGTACGGTTCAGAAAAGTTCTAAAGAGTTTGGAACATGCATGCGATTTAATTAAAATAATAATATTCATATGGTTTTATTCTGAATCCGAAGCAGAGTGTCGCTAAACCACTAAAAGGCGCTTATAAAAACACAGGCATGATGCTTAATGTGCGCCACAAAATGCTGGGTGTGTTGGTCAAAACCACAAGTTTGTGATATTGCTTGTTTTGATTTAATTGCAAGTTCCATTTTTTTTAAGTTGGCTGCAACCTATACGAGTGTGAAAAATCACTTATACATTGTAACAGCCTACCCCTCGTTATTTTACCCTCTGATATGTTATTATTTACCTCACAAGTTTATTTTAGTTTAAGTTCTATACTTACTGTATTTGGCCTTTTCCCTCTAGTAGTAGAAGTGATCGTCTAGTTAATTAATTGATAATTTATGTACCCACGTTGTGATAATCTTAATTAAGGTAAACTAGGATTCGATGCAAAGTTTGGTACAAATTGATAAATAAAATCAGACAAATTTATATTTAAACTCTTTTTATTTTTCATACTTTAAATGTGATGCAATAATTAGCAAAGTATATTACAATTTACTATACTATACTATATTACTATTTACTGAGATCTCACTTGAGTCACGTTCAAACGCAGACCACGTTCATTTGCTATTAAGATATATTTTATTTAGGTTGATGACCAACGGAGTTAACGAACAGCGCCAATTCGCCAATTAGTTCATTACTGTGTTGATGTTGATTTGATTCTATTCTAGATATACACAGGTTGCACCCTCTTAGGTAAATATTTTGACGAGTATAGAGGTGATGACCAACGGAAGTAATAAACAGCGCCAATTCGCCAGTTGGTTACCTTACTATGTTGCTTAGCATATAGGTATCCCCCTTGAGCTAACAAACAGTGTATTCACCAGTTGGTTAACTTACTGTTAAATTTTACCATTTCAGTTTGTACAATTTATCCAAGATAACACATCCCTGTATATTTCTAAAATAATGATGTTTATACTTTCTATTGAAATGACTCAATACAACCCTGTATATTTTTAATATTGATTATTATAATTTCTATTAAAATTATTTAATACAACCCTGTATATTTCTTAATATTGATTTTTATAATTTCTATTAAAATACTCAAAATTCACCCATCGAAACATATGTCTATCTTAACTGTCTTTTGGGGTGTATAACCTGAAGGCCATGTGGTTTATTGGTTACATTGATAATATTTTGCAGAAAATGTCAAGCCCTCGTTTAAACGAAACCCTGGTGGTATCTCTATCTTTTGACTCACCGTTGAAAATGCAGACATTAGATTATGTACTAATTTCATCTAGCGTTGAGCGACGCCTTGCGTCGAGGCGCCTAGCGTCGTGGTGGAAAAGAAGGAATTTAATACGGTACTGCATTGAGATAGATATACGGTAGAAATATGTTCCATTAAACGAGCTGTAAATCCGGGCGTTTTTTTTATTTTGATAGCTAAAAATAATACGACTTATTTTATTGTTAGCTATTACAATAAGAGCATCGTTTGGATTAACAACATTTAAAAGAACATGTAATATACTTTTTAATTTTACCTGAATCACTTTTTTTTACCTATAGAAGTTAGATCAGAAAAAAAATTGTATAAAATATTTTATTTGAAAAATTATAAAAGTTATTTAATTTATTTTAAAGTCGAGGATAACTCTAGCCATATCCATTTTACTGAAAAAAAAAACACTATATTAAATGAAATCATTTAGTTATTAAGAGATGTTTGTGATAATACAGTGTCGGCTATCGAATGTTTTACAATACGTTTTGCTCAGGGCCGCCGAGAGCCAAGCCGGGCACCAGGACAATTCTCTAGATCGGGCCCCGTGACAAAAACACAACTCTTCAAACAAAAACTTTTCCTCTTTTACTTGGATTCAATTTTCTAAAAAAAAGCTCCTCAAGCAAAAAAATTTCCTCTTGTACTACTTGAATTGCTTGAATTAAAAAAAAAAGGTCCGAGTCCGGGCCCCGGGAATTAATCCCGGCTCCCCCCCCCCCTCTAGTCGGCCCTGCTTTTGCTAATGTTCAAGTGGAAACTACAAAGGGTTAGCATTAATGCGAGAAGGCATGGAATACTCTGAACATAACCAACCGGCTATGGGGGGATGCATCGCACCGTGTGTCTGTACATTACACAGCACACAAAGCAACATTCATATTATTAGTTTCCTGATCCCACTAATGCTAACTCTTTAGCTTTCGCTTCGATGCTATCCAAGCGTATTGGAAAGTATTCAATAGCCGATACTGTATATAAATGCTAAAATCAACAAGTGAAATAATTTTTCTTCGATAAAGGAGAAAAACTGAAACAAAAAATTATTATACTTAAATTTTAAAGGCTGTTGCTACTGGAAAACTATTATCTAGGGCTTGAATGACAGCCATAGGACTCCCTCCTTGAATCGTGTCCATAGGAAAGCATAAGATCTCAGTTAAATTATAATATTAGAGGGTATTAACTGAAAAATATGAAAAATTATTACAAACTTAATCAAAAGTGGCACCTACATTAAAAGAAAGGAAAACTGAAACATAAAATTGTTATACATGAATTTTAAATGCTTTTCCCACTGGAAAAGTATTATCTAAGGCGGGGGCCCTTGGATGACAGCCATAGCAATCCCTCCTTGAATCCTCTTTTTCTGAGTGTGTTGTATGTTTTGCTTTCCATATTAAATAAATAAGCACTTAATACAACACAATAAATATCGCTGAAACTGAATTAATAGTAATAAACGGTATAAATTTCGTAGAAGAAAAACTCAAAAAAATTATCACTTGTCAAAAACTTCGTCTTCAACCAATGAACGTGCCGATGTCAGAGGTGTCAAAATTCAAAACGATACTAACGCCATGTGGCTCTGTGTCTGGCCGCAGCGTAACTTAAAGCCATTTCTTGAATCCCGATGACATTATAGGGGATATATTGTGGTGTATTGTTTCAATTATTTTGTAGAGTAAAAAATAATGTTCAACATTATGCAACTAGTTGCATAAAGAGATCATTTTGACACTTGCTGTGATTACAAAAAATATCACTTTATATGTCAAAATTAAAAAAAAAATATTTTAAAAACTACTGTTAAAAATAAATATCTAGGATCTAAGTACAAATATTAATATTAACCAATTTAATCTGTTTTGATTACCTATTTATATATTTTAAATAACTTTATTTTGATTTTTAGGCAGTCATTAGTTCCCCCCTTAGTCT